CAGATTCCTGTATTTTCCTTATCCTTCTCGAAGTTCCTAAGGGCACTTTTAGAATAATTTGCTTCATTATAACTTTGGAGCCGATTCGGAAAACGCATTACTGACAGAAGTGGAATTGTGTTTGTGAACGTTCCCTAAATCCAATGCTTTAACGCTTTTTTGCGCACCATTTGCTCGAAGTCATCTATATTAATAAATTTTGTCTACTGGCCTTTTACTCAACTCCTTTGGTTTTGGACGTTTAATAAAGGTAGGCGTACGGCTGTCCTCTTTGATTAGCTGCTCAAGCCTTAGGTAGCGTTGTATACAGCAGTGATTTTTGAGTCCTTATACAGGTATGCGGTGGATAGGGAACGGAGTGCCAACATATTATTGGTTCCGCTCTCCTCTGATGAGTTAACTTTCGTACATAAACGTCACTCGTTAACGTTTTTTCTTTCGTAACAGCGAAGGTCGGGGGCTATGCATCTTTGTACCCTTTCGCCCGGCGTGCTCGAGGGTAACTGGCAAAAGTGACATTGAATTCGGAAAAATTTTTAGAGACAATTAAAGAGGATTGATCACAAAACTTTTTCAATTTACCCTTACCCAACCGGCTTATGAATTTTTTTGCGATAACTCTTTGCCTTTGCTAGAGACGATAAGGAAAAGTGTATCTAAGGCGCATTAGAGGCGTCCTTGAAACAGATTTTGCAAGGATAAATCCGACACTTTTGCTATTACAGTACCTTGACCATCCTCGATGTTGCAATGGGCTGCGCCAGTACGGAAGACGAGTTAATAACGTGCATAGGAGTTAAGAGGTTATTAAAATGGCCAAAGCCTTTAAAAAAGGTGCTAAATTCGCTTTATTCGTGGGCATTTTGGATTGGGAGTTTGTTATAAATATGCAGAAGGGCGCAGGATGAAAAGGACTCCATGGCACAAACAAGATAGATGGTCGAATCCAGTGATAAGGGTCAGCAAAATCATGCCAGTTTACGCCAACCACATTAATCTCGAACATTAATCTTGTTCAGTGTGCCCAATAAGCCACCGGTCCATGCAGTGAATTCAATGAGGGGCACGGGTCGTTCCAGCGAAATGTAAAGCGAATTAACCCCTGGGATATTGTCCGTAAACCAGAATTGCATATTGATATATCAAAACTTACGGGGCAAGTCAGCATCATTGGATTGGGATTTCCTCTTTCAGGGATCTTCGTTTTTTGCCCTATGGTTAGATTCAGTTTATTCGTATACTGTTTTAATCTCAGGTACGTGGTATATGATCCTGCGTTAACCAAAGGCGAAGGCCGACAAGAAAGAGACTGTGCAACACCTGTTCGGTCTTCCTGTTTTGTGTTCACACCCTCTTTGCCCATTTGTGCAGTTATGAGAAACCGACTTCCATGTTGGTACTCCTTGCTCCTTTTTAAGAATACCTCAATCGTCAAATGTCTATTTGACTCTAACTGCTTGAAATATCGATTACACAATTCAACTTGTCACTAAACGTCTTACCAACCCAATTTGAAGGCCTGTCCACTTTGGTTCCCATCTAGGAGTTTTCAGCTTCTAAGTTGTATTAAGTGTTAAACAAAGGTTCCTAAGTTATTCTTTGGCACATCCCATGCTAAACCCTCGACTATCCGTGTGGTCTTGTAAATGCTAAGGGGACTAAATGGATATATAGACGGGTGCTGATAAATCCCAGTAACCGACATTGATGTAGAGAGAGGGCGACCAAAAAACGTCCCATGAGCAATTTTCCCCCAGGTTTTGGGGTCGAAAATTGGTATTACTAACACTGATGAACGTGGCGAATCATACCTCATTTCAGTCTGGTCAACTTTCATGTCAAGGTTAGGTCTGGTTCATGCTACTACGGTCAGTAAAATTCACATCAAACAGCAGCCAATAACACTGCCATTTACTTAGTGGATTTACGTTTTCACAGTAACTGCGCTTATTCCTTGCCTAAATTTGTTCGCAAAACATCACACAAGCAGTTCAGTTCCAGAAAATGGGCTCAGTAAATTTACTTCGAAGCTAATAGGTACATAGCTAGAGCAGCAGGTAAGCTGCACACCACAAGCTAAGAAAAACTCATAAGTTAAGCTTTTTTACCGCGGTCCATATTCATTACAAAAAACGTACGTTCCAACTTAAACATCTTTGGTTAGGGACATTCCCTTCGTTGTAGGCCACTATTGGATACCACAATTGGTTACACCCAAGGGAGTGGCTGGAGGGGATCAACAATGGGAGCAGTCAACTTTTTCAGCGACGAGGTACTCGAGAACACTAGAAATTTACATATTTGAATAACTCTACTCATAAAGGACGCATGACCATATGCATATATGATTATATACTAATTTCATAACAAGTGAATAAAAGGAAATGAGGGAGTAAAGATACCCGAGTAATACCACGGAGAGGGAGGTGACGGGTGTCAGTGTCATGGGGAAGGAGAGTGGCCAAGAGAACTGGGTGCATCTCCCTTCTACCAACAACAAATCATCTTGGTAGGACTAGGTTTGCTAAGCACCCTGCGAGGATAGATAAGGTAGGCTCCCTTCCTGTCGGCGCACATTATTCCCCCACAAAAGTGTTTTGTTCTAGAGGCTGCCAAACATTCGCCCAATAAAGTATCGTCAACAGGTTGTATTATATCGATGCCTCTCTTCTTCCTCTCTTTCATTGTGTGGTCGATGCGCTGACTGCAAATGCTCTGCTGCACGCGCTGGAGCCAGTAGATCCTTGACCACTTCTTATCCAGCAACATTATACGCTCATCAGTAGTGCAAATAATGTGGGAGGGTACAATGTTAAACATAACACTAGGAGTGAACTGCGTGAATGTGTCGGTGGTGAGGTCGAGAATGAAGACCTTGTCATCCAGCGGACAACTCGCCCACACTTCACTTTCCTGCCTGGAGATGCAAAGAAAAGACGGAGAGAGTTGGGGATTGTTCAGAAACCACTCTCTGTCAACCTGCTTCAGATCGTCTGGATTGAGACGACAGACCATGGCGTTGGCACAGAGGGCAACATAAATGGCACCAGTCACTCGGTCGACATCTAGACCCGCGACTGTGGGTCGTTCGAGCTGAGTCATGCCTACCGCATCACGAAGGAAGATGCTTGAGACGTCGATTGTACTAAACTTGTTCCTCGCAGAATCACCACCAGCAAGCTCGTCAGATGTGAATTTGTGATCCGGATCTGGCAGGGCACAGCAAATCACTAGGCCTGGGTCGATGAGATCAGCCGAAATCGCGGTATCCTCGGAGATACCAACAGTCTGGCCCGGTTGTCGAACAATCACCGTCATGTAAATGCGGTTTTTAAAGAAACGAACGTATTGTACCTCGAGTTTCCCCATGTTGGAGATGTCGTCTAGACTCCAGCGTTGCCGAAGAATAGCTTCGGAATCCTTCTCAGATGATTTCCCCGAATTTGCAGAAATTGTAAAACTCTCACGGCCGGGATGAATGGGTACTCTTCTGCGCCACAAGTGAAGCACACTGCTAGTTCCATCGGTACCAATTGTGTACTGAATTACGTGGGTTTTTGACTGATTAGGCAACAGATGCATACCAATATGAGGAATAGTTTCACGTGGCATCCCATCGCATTGGCCAAGGGCCTTCCAGAGGCACACGTAGTCAGAATTTCTCATCATCATAGTCCTAGCTGTCAAAAGTTCACGGTAGGTGACGTAACTTAATCTTTCAGTATCTGATCGACGCGTTCCCGTACCAAGAGCATGACTGGCAGCCGAACGAAACCTCCCACTACTACTTCTTCGTGAAGTGTCGTTCCGCTGTTTTCTTGATGACGCAACTCTCTTCGTCTCTGGGGCGGATGGGAGAGCTGGAGGCGCTGATGGTTCAACCATTTCGGGCTCTGGTAGGTTGAAGGGAGTTGGTGATCCTTGTGGTTGCTGTTCCTGTTGCTGACATTGTTTTAGTTCTGACGATTCTGCCAACTTGCGCACCCCGTGAAGCAGCTGAGCCAAATTCAAGACAGTATTGCTTTTGCTTCGCTTGAGAGCGACAATGTCAGCGACAAGACTATTCAGCGCGTCGGAGGTAACATTTAGGGAGGTCTTACGACGCCCCATGGGCGAGGGGCTGTGAAAACTGCTATGTGACGAGCTTGGCCCCCCACTACACGTTCCAGAATCGCTGGGCTCAACCATAAAGGCTTGGCTACGAATGTATTCGAGGATCATGCTGTGGTTGAACGACTTTGGATAGTCACGAGCAGTATTCGACTCAGGTATCGTGTGAGGCGCGCGACAAATGGGACACGGCAACTGAGGGCGACTGGTAGAAGCGCCTCTCTGGGGACGGGAGACAATCTGGCGGATGTAGGAGTCGAGACACTGACGACAGAACACGTGACCACAGGGAAGCAGACGTGGGTCCTCGAGGAAATTTAAATCAATGGGACAGGTTACCATCTCCTCCAGCGGTTTGAGGTTCATCACCTTCACGCGTGACGACGTTTTAGCCTGAGGGTTGACAACAATTGTTAAGAGTAGGCCAGATATGCTTGATGAGGTAGAGGGCAAGGTCTGGGGTATTTGTTTAAAGTTTCCGAATGCAATTGTTAGGCGTGAATTAACGCTAGAACTTCAAAATCACATGTCAGAAAAGAACTCTTCTTGTAAATTTTCTCGCCTCATAAAAATGTCCAAATTTTTGCCGTATGTAAAGATATGCGTTGAGCTCAGTGCAGCTTAAATCATGGTAGGAAGCCGGGTAGTGGAACGAATCAGACTAAATTCCAAAATTAAAAAGTTGGAACAGAGGCTTTAACTGAACTGATGTTAGCTCGATTTGTAGGATTAGTTAAATGCAACAAAAGGTGTAGAACGTTCATCCGGAGAGTGGAGAAGGAAATTGCCAGATTTGTCAATCGATAGGTGGCAGTGGGCGCGGGCTGAAATCCATTCGCTCGAGACGCACGTACGCGCGCACCAGGAAGTGGTTACGTGCGGCGCGCCGCGTGGTGAATTACTCAGCCCGTGCCACAAGACACACACACGCACACAGGCAGGTGTGACACGGACACTCCCACCGGCATAAGAACTGTCGCTGCGTTGACAGCCGCAGCTTCACCCTTAGTCGAAATCGACGTCAGGTTTTACAAAAATTTTATAAAGGACGCATAATCATGAAGTAATGCCACCACACTACCTACGGGCTATCAGTGAATGAACATCGAACTTGTTAAGGAATAGAGTGACTAATAAGATTGCGAAAATCAGTCGCACGTTAATGTCGTCAAGTGCTAACCCTACTGCTATATGCGCATTTTAAAATCCGCATTTGACATAGATTCATACATCCCGAATTGGATCCACAATCAAGCGGTCGGCACCAGAAAGATGTGTATTTAAGCTTAAATTCAAAAATAATAAGGTGACACTAACCATTACATTAAATAGATAAACCTTGATTCACACCAATGAGACAGTGGTATGATTATGGGAGTTGAGTTTGCAAAAAACGACGCTTGTACTACGCGATTTGATAATCAAGCAATGGGAGGCTTTAGGTATCCTTTATCAAAGGAGAAAGGCTGAAAGTACCTACTATTTATCTGAAATTTTGACATCTGGTTCCATCTTGAGTGCGAACGTTGCCCAATCAGCTTTAAGAAATGTCATGACTCCTCTATGTAAACGCAACTCCATTTGACAATCATCTTAATTTAAACCCGAGTTTTCACTTAAGTTTATTTAAGGACTGTTTTTTTCCTATCACAAACTGTGCAAACAAGTACATTGAATCCAGGAAGAGGTCAAAGTCCAAGTGTTAGATCTCCATTTAAAAAGTCGTGGGTATGTGGAGCCAATGTACACGTACTGGAAGAATACTATTTGATAGTGAATTGCAAAAGAAAAACAATTTGCCCTGGCTAACAGTCTTAGAGTAGTTTGTTAATATAAAAACCACCTCAATAAACGGAGGTAGTTAGGTGGAGGTGAATCAGCGTCACAGAGGACAAAAGTCATTGTTTGTTGAATGGGTTTAGATACGTCAGCGACAAAACGATGTTTCATTTTGCGATGGCATTTTCACCTTTACTACTCGCGGGCAGCCCGAGTTGAATTATTTAAAACAGATTGGCGATACCTAGCTAACACATATGGCATAAGCAGTCCTAAGGAGTATCAATGCGTAGTTTCTGTGGTCGTTGGACTGTGAGGTGGGCAGAATTCTGGCCCTCGTATGTGCCTCAGCGCCTCTGCTCAGTTCAAGACGCAGGCGCGTGTGCACACGCACACAGTTAGAGAGGCATCCACAACCGAGTCCACTTAAGTGACACTTAATATTTATGCACCAAGTGCCGCAGGAATCAAGGCTTCTGCTACTTGATTTCTCAAATGTAAACGTAGACCAGAATCTGTAAATGGATGATCTTGTACCCAGAAACAGTAACCAAAGATATCCATGATTTCCTCTGTGCAATTAAAGCACCAGCAACGAGGCAACATCCCGAATTCGTTTGGAACAAAATATTTACCTCAAGTCAAATCTCGGCACTTATCGATGGAAAGCGAGGACTCTGAACTGATCTGTTTTACTTTAATAATTTGCATACACAATCAAGCAGCAAAGTGTCCTGGTGACACCAAAAAAGCAGAACATAATAGCTAGGCCACTTTTTTCAAACCAGTGCCTCAAATATTTCGCGTAAAATGATTCCAGGAGTCACAAAGTCTCCGTCGAAATGTGCAACCAACCTCGACCATGCAATTTGTAAATCAATCCAGCCTGGAAATTTATAGAGCACAATTATAGCTATTCTATGAAATGTCCACATGCTTTCATTGACACCTTTCGTACGTTGGAAGTGATTGCTTTAAGTAAACGATGAAATAGGTTAAGCATTCACATCGAATTTACTGACGACCAATGAGCACGCTATTCTCGCACAACTGCAAAACTTGGCCAAGGTTTTTGTGGGTAAATCATTTGGAGTCGGACACGATGGCCCTTCTAGAGCAAACACCAACTTTACAGAGAGGAATTGGATCATGCGCATTCCAAATCCAGCCCGAACATTGTCTGCAAGCAAATAACGAAGAACACGTATTTCTAAGGTTGTTATTGCAAATTTCTGTTTACCGACCAACTTCAATGCTGGCTTCACTACCACAACAGCCGTGGCAAAGAGCTTCCATAAAAAAAACAATCGGGGGAAAACACAAACAGTCCATTTTGAGAAATAAAAGATGGTAGCACCTATAGTGATCGGCTGAGCACTTTAATGACTAGATTGGAATGAAAGAAAAATTGTGAAATCGTACCAACCAAATGTAAAATACAGAAGACGAGGACGAAGGGACGCGGAAGAAGGTTTAAGGTCAGCTCAACAGCAGCGCAAATCAAGGATACATATAAACTTATGTATAGGGTTGTGTGATGGTTAGGTTACATTATTACTTGCAAAGCTTTAGAGTCTCAAGCATTGATAGGTATTATCAAAACAATGTAAACGATTGCTAACTCAAAAAAAGTCTGCATTAGAGGGATAAACTGAAAGGTAAACGCACACTTCATTATGTGATGAATGTCAGTGATCAAAAGGGAACCAATCACGAGGAACACACCATCGAAGAATCCTCTTGGGTAAATGTAGAAGCACCCTAAATTATCCCTTAGTTATTTCACATAGTTTGCTCTATTGAAGGTGAGTTCCTCCCACCAAGGCTTTTGTTTGTCAGGTAAAATCTTGGCCGAGTGTTCAAAATATGGTACCTGCTAGAGGTGCTAAATGAATTCGAAATTGGAAAAGTAAGAGGAATATAGTGCTCTACCTGCGAATAGGCTTGTAACGTGCTCTTAGTAAGTTGATAGGAAAAGACTATACATTTATAAGACTTTAAACTCCTTTACCTTCATGGAACTTGTTTTTTGAATGACCCAAATGTATTTCTGGTCCGAACCTTCCGAAAAATAGATGCCATCATCACTCGACACTTCCGTTATAACTTGGTGTAGGAGCAACAAGTACAAGAGATGGGAACAACATCTACCAGGGTTTCGCAGGTGCCCAATAAATACATTCTATTTTGCGCATTAAGCATTGCTTGGAAATCGGTCTCGGGAACACGAGAGAGAACTTTACACATGGTGGAGACACAAATTCGTGAACATGAGCACAAGTTATTTGTGCAAATAATAATTTTTTGAATAAAAAACCGAAAACTAACAATAGTAAGATAAAGGCAAATAAACCCAGACATGCTGGGAAAAATGATATTTAACCATGGATAAAGTGAAAAAGATTGTAACAGGACTGAAACACACCTTGTAATGGATTAAGGCACAATTAATTCCACACGCAACGGAACCGGTCCCCAAGAACTAAAGTCACAGAGTCAAATTTATGCATATACAGGCATCAAGAATTTAAAAAAGCGGACTACTTTCACATGAATACTTGCAGTGGCAGCCCTTGATGAAAATGAACGGCCAAAACTTTACGAAGGACTAGACGATGGTGTCCAAAGCGAGCCTAAAATCTAAAATATTTTTAGAAAGCCAGCAGATTATGCTAAAACGCGTTTGCTCAAGGGCGACTCCTTTTCAAAGAGAGTGCTTTGGATTTGTCACCAAACCGATCACCCAAAAAGTACTTGACGCTACTGAACAAGTATCATGCTGTTATAACGATCCCGGAGTGCAAATTTATCGAATCTTATCCGATTTACTTAACACGGAACAAAAAATTACATTGTAAAACCAGGCAGAACATGTAATTTAGCTAAAGGACTTAGTAATTAGACATAGCTAGGAGTTTAAAAGCTTACTGATCCCTTTGCTTCAGGAAGATTAACATGAGACGATCCTCTTCGGGGATTTCTGAAGCTCAGGTTGGCCGCCGAGAGGCGTGAACAAGACCCTCCGAAGGCCGACATTAAAATCCTCACTGTTTAAACGATTAAGAAATGGGAAGTTTTCGTGAGGTAATGGCAGAAAGTAGGAAGTCCCACTGTTGTGTCGACGACTGGCAAGCCCAGCCGACGGGCACGCACCGATGGGCCTAAGTGAAGCTGACACTGGCAATGCGATGCCATTTTGCAATCGCATTTAACGAACCAGGAGGTAGCCCTCAGAAACAGCCTGTTGATTGGTTAGTACGCTCCCGCTTCACTTCCAATCGGTCATTCATTAGTTGGCGAATTAACCAATCCCTGTATGAGCAACCGATTCGACCTTGCCCCAGATTTTCTGTGGGGCTGTACTTCTTCAAACCAATGGTATCATCGCCCTTCTTAGTCTCCAAGTTATTCGTTTAGTTTTCCCCACGTTCTTCTCGCCATTTTTGGCGAAGTGAAGTATAATAGTCTTCAAATAAAGGTGATCCAGGCTTAAATAAAATTTGTTTGTTCAAAGCAGATTTTCTAGAAATTGGGAAGAATGCCTATTTTACACATAAAACAAACGAGAGCTTCGTAATAATTAGGTAAGTCGTAAATTTCGTACCGAAGGCACTTTGGTATTACAATATCGCATTTCTAAGGGGAAAGCTTACCGCTTAACTTTGAAATGGATGTAGTTATAATTGCTAGCCCAGAGGTCGCTGTGATGGGCGTCGGACAGGCTGAATCCGAAGGCTCAGTGACTGAGTAATGGCGAGGTTGAGGTAATCGATTCCTCTAATAGAGATCAGGCAAGGTTGACAGGTTTTGCAGTATGGTCTACCTGTAGGTTTGCCAATGCACATACTTCCCTATTCGTTGGTCATGGTTCAAATTTGCGCCGTACCACCACCACCGCAGCAACACCACTTGGAGAGTCATGTGATGTGGACGCATGCAGAGGTGCGCCGCGGCCCACACCACTACTCACGTCTGCACGCGGAAACAAAGCGCGGGCAGAGAGCTGTGGGTGCAGGTGAGGTGGTGCCGTGCCAGGAGCCAGTGTTTCGCCACTTCAAAATGCCCATGCCTTCCAATTCTGAACTAGTAGAAGTGGTTTAAAAAGCGGCCAAAAAAGACCACATGGCTTTTGAAATAAATTTCTGGAATGACTTTTGGTAACTTATAGAAACGTGTAGAAAGTATCCAATGGCGTACGTGCATTATAAAAAATGAATACGCTGCATTACAACGGTA